CCAACCAGACTGGCTGCTCCTCCTTCCTTCTTTCCTCGCGGGCTGGCTGGCCCTGTCCCGGGTCCTGGTCCTGGTCCTGGTCCTGTCTGTGGCTCCTGCTTCTCCTTCCTAGCGGGCTTCGCAGCCGCGGGGGGCTGCCGGGCACTCCCTCATCAATTACTCCTTTCAAATTAGCTCAGTCCAATGGCAAGGTTTGGTTTTTTTAAGTCCCATATTAAATTATCTTAAAATAGTTGGCTATAAAAACTTATTATATAATAGAGCGCCTAGCAGCTTCTATCTTAATCCTCTTCAAAAAAAAGATTCTTTTTAAAACAAATCAGCTCAGTCCAGTTCCCTAGATCAGCAGCTACGCCACCTAGCCTTAAGATGCACCCTTGCCATGGAGGGAGTGCCCTTTCTTCCTGGAACTCCTAATTCTCTGGCTAACTCATCTTCCAGTAGCGTCATATCTTAACCTCTTGCATACTAATTTTTAGTTTAGCAGGAGGAAAACTTTGTCCTTAAGTCCCTCCCAAATGAGATTTTAGGCTTTTTTTTCCTATCTTCTTTTTTTAGATTTCTTCTGCTACTTTTTCTATTTCTTTTTTTCTATCTTCTCTTTTTAGATTTCTTCTGCTACTTTTTCTATTTCTTTTTTTCTATCTTCTCTTTTTAGATTTCTTCTGCTACTTTTTCTATTTTCAGATTTGTCTCTGGTAAGTTCTATAACTTTGCTAATTTCAATTTTTTGCCTCATTAAATTTCCTATTCCTTTCTTCTTTTTTCTTCTGTTTTTCTGCTAATTTCTTTTCTTACCAATCCTATTTTCTTCCATGATTTTCTTTTGCTTTTTTTCTATTTTCTTGTTCTGTAACTATTTTCTTTAGCTAATTTCCCTATTTCTTCTTTAGCTAATCTAGTAGAATTTGCTAGTTTCTTCTATTTTTCGAATTTTCTTTGGCTACAAATTCTTTTCTAGATGCTTTTTGCTGTCAAAATTTTCTTCCAAAATTCCTCATCCTCTTCTAATTTTTAATTCTCATAAGCTGTTTTCTGCTTGTTTTTCTCTAAGTTCTACTTTGTTCTTCCAATCGTCCTCTTATTTTTTCCTAATTTCTATTTTCTTCAAATCGTTCTCTTGCTACTTTTCGCTTCTAATTTCCTCTTCCAATCTTGTTTTTTCTCTAGCTTCTATTTTCCTTCTTCAAATTGTTGACTTGCTATTTTTCCTATATCCTATTTTCCTTCTTCATATTGTTCGTTTGCTATTTTTCTCTAAATCCTATTTTCTTTCTTCAAACCTTCTCCTGCTATTCCTTTTAACTTTTTTTCTATTTTCCTTCTTCAAAATGTTGCTTTCCCTTAGTTCTAGCTTCCACTTCCAATTTCGATGTCTCTAATTTCTCTTTTTCTTCTAAATGTCCTCTCGCCTTTCCCTCACTGTATAATGGTTCCTGTTCTGTCTTTTGCAGCTTTTTTCCCCCTCTTACGCATTAGTTCCTGCTTTCTCTGATGCTGTCGTTTCCTCGCGTCTGTCTTGCTAACTCTTCCCATTAAAGTTTCTCCCATTTTAAAGGGTTTTTTGGTTACTCTTTAGCTCCTTACATTTTCTATTGTTTTCAGTTTGGTCCTTTTTGGCCAAATTTTCTATCTTCTATATATTGCCAAGCCTCTCGCTCGCTCCCTGGCCCCACCACTGGCGCCTATGATAGAGCTCTTTTCTGTCGATCCTACTATTAAAAGCTCAAATAGGGCCGATTTTGCCCTTCAGAAAAAGGTATCTCGGCTTAAATTTAAGATCAAATAGGATTCCTATCCTTGGCAGTTTCTTTCAAAGCATTTTCCCTGATCTAGCTCAACCTTCTCCTTTTAAAATCAGCTCACTGCTCCTTATACTTGCCTCCCTCCGATTGTCTTTTAAGGCAATAACCTTCATCTGGCTCCCTAAAAGAACTCTCATAGCACAAAAATGTAAAGTATCTCAAATTTAAGAATTAAAGAAAGCTAAAGCAATTTAACTAAGAACACCTCAACTACCTCCTTAATCATTAAACAAATTTCTTCTTAAAATGCCTCTCAGGTCCTCCCTTCCAGCTCCTTCCTCCTACCTGGTCTACCGCCTAGCCTCTCTGCCTGCCGTCTGCCTGAAAAGGGCGTTGGAAGGAGGACTATTTATACACCGCAGACAGCCTCACCGCCAGTAACACGTAACCCTCCGCCCCCTTTGTTAGGCAAGCAAAAATAGCACCTAGCTTTTTTTTTTTTTTTTTTTTTCCCAACAAGACCTCAGATTTTACTTCCCGCCCCGCCTCCCCCTTTCACAAACTTGGGCCGAGAGTGAGTTTTATGCGGAGGAGGCTGTGTGCCAACTAATTGCAGATACCCTTGGCGGCCACATTTCTGCATTAAGTACAAAGAGAATAAGCAAAACTTCTGGAAAAATCTAAAGCCCAGCAAAGCCAGCTGACTGATAGGTTAGTCCTGGGAAAACTGAGGAAAGGAGCATCCTCTGGAAATACCCTAGAAGGGTAGCCCCCAAACTCAAGCTTCTACCTCGTCCTTTCTAGTATCCCACTACTCCGGGCTTTGGAAAAGCACAAAGCCCAGGAAATAAACAAGGCGGGAGGGAGTAGCAATGGGGAAACTTACAAAAGAACAATGGCTGGGGGGGGAGGGGGCGCTGGAAACAATGGCCCGGGGCAATCATGTAGCAAGCTCAGAACTGTAGCCCGCTTCCGCTCCCTCCGACTGGCTGTCTCTCTCTCTCTGTTCAGTCTCTGTCTCTCCTCTGTCTCTGTTTCAGTCTCTCCCCTCTGTCCAGGGCTCTCTCTATGTATCTCTCTTTTTTTGTGTGTCTCTCTCCTGTCTCTGCCTGTTGCTGGGAACCAAGAGAGCTTTCTTCGGGGGTGCCCGCTGCCCTTAGGCCATTTTAGGGATCCGGCCGACTTTCCCGGCCTTTAGAAACTCTGATGGCCGTACCATGCCCCCCTCCCCTCCGGGCCACGGCTTACACTCTCTCGGAGGAGCTATACAATGCAGACCCAGACCCGCCTCCCGCTTTCTCCTGCCTCTTGCGGGGTTGGGGAGGGGGAGCGAAGGAATCCAAAAAAATTCCTACCTGGGATTGCATTCGAGCCTGTGTCTTGAACATGGTTTCAAAGAAAGAAAGGTCAGACAGCTGCAAAATGTTCCAAAACTCTATACCCAGGACAACCTGTTATTTTGATTTTTAGAAAATCTTGTCTAGTTTTTCTTAGTTGAAGTTTCTAGTAGGTTTTTCTAAAAACCGGGTAATTGATGCAAAGGGCTCTGGTCTCTCCCATTTAGTCACTCAACAAACTCTTAGGGGGTTTTTGGGTTTCCTCAGAGGCTAACTAACCAAGCTGGCTTTTAACCAAGTCTAGACCTGAATTAACAGTGAGAAATGTAAAAACATTAAACAGCATTCTTCTGTTTCACCTCCCTCGTTTTCTAGATGAGGGAAGGAAGACCAAGAAAGGAATCTCATAGGATTTACAGATTAAGAGAAACCTTAGAGGTCTACCCAGGCGAGGTATGTGTAGATCAACATATTCACACATATATAAGATCAGTTATTTCAATACCATTGGTTTCCCTTGTAAAATAACAGATTTTATGCGTTTGAAAACATGCTGAGAAGGTATCTATTCATAGGTTTTCTCAGACTACCCAAGAGGTTCATGACACACGATGAAAAGTGAAGAACCCCTGATTTCGAATCTAGATCAAGCCCATTTTACAGATGGGGAAACCGAGTCAAGGGACGCTCATAGACAACAGTAAGAAACCATCCATAGTCCGACATCTTTGTTTTACAGGCCAGCCCAGAGACGGAGAATGATTACCCTAGCTCTTGTAGGTAAATCACTTTTTTAGGCCCCGTGGGCCAAGCCCACCCAATAGAAATTAGATTGTTGCCAATCCTGTAGCATCTGGTGATTTGTTTAAGTTTCCAGATAACACCGTTGAAAGAGGTTAACCTTTCCAAAAATCAGTAATGAAACGGGATTTTTGTAATAAAAATATCAGCTGATTTTAATAATATATACTTAGGGAAGGGACTATAGAGGAAACTGAGGGGAGTGGGAATATATTCCAAAATGGTGACATAAAAGCAAATGGTAAAAAAAATAAGAAAAATATAGATTAAGGAACCTTTATTTCCTTTTCTCTTACTCCAGTTTCCCTGATAATGCTGATCTCTCATTTGACAACACGAATGCTTCAGCTTTTCAAGCTCTGATTTCTATTTAAGGTTGGAGCTGGCTTAAACAGATCTAATAATTTGTGCCCAAACTTTAAAATCGTGCTTTATTTTTCTGTTCAGTCTCAAGCAAAGTGAAATACTGTTTAAAACGTTAGAACGTTGTTTTCTCCTTCCTCTATCCTTCAGGTCCCACAAAATGGCGAGACTCGGCAGGATTTATTGTAAAGTGCAGCTTTGGACCGGGTAGGCCTGGGCCAGCCGAGCTGGTGCTGGGGCCAGGCTCGGGGTGGCAAGAGCCCCAAGTTCTGATGGGGGAGATCGGCTGTAAAAAGTAAGGGGATGGATCCAGAGCCCAGCCCTGGGCTGGATGTGCGGGGGGCTAAGGTGCCTGTGTCTGCTGCCCTGCCTTTGGAGACTGGGAAGCCTCCTTCCTTTCCCAAGGTCAAGGAGGCTACCAGGCCCGTAGTTATTCAAGTGCAATGGGGCCTACAGAGCTGGATTCTAAAGTCTTCGGCAACGTGTGTGGCCCCTCAGGGGTCTTTTCCTATTCCAATGGGTCTCCTTCGCTAAAGCCTCTCTGGGAGTCGGAGACCGAGCTCTGGGTCAGGATCGAGGTAGGGGAGAGGGAGAGCAAGGACACAGATTACAGGGAGGCTAAGGACAAGGCGCATGCGCAAAGAGGAGGAGGGGCGACGAGCGCAGGGATACCACTGCGGAGGGTGAGGTGGCGCCCCTCCCTTTGTGTCCTGCTCTGCTCGCGCGTGCGGCCTCGGCCGGTTCTAACCGGCTGCAACCGCCCCTGGCTGCCCGCGGGTGCGGTGGCGAGTGGCGCAGTGAGTTACTACGCGTGCGCGGTTCTTTTCTTTTTTTCCCCTCCCCGCCCCCACCTTCTCACTGCGGCCTTTCTCGCTTGTTTTGGGGGAGGGGAAGAAAATGGTGTCCTTTCCTTCTTCTGTGGGCTCCTAAGGCACAGGGAACGATGGGTGGTGTGATTCCTATTGTTCAGATGAGGAAACTGAGGTTGAGGAGAACAAGCCAAGAAAGGACAGACTTTAAGGGCCCTTTTAGATCAACCCCCACATTTTACAGGATGGGAAACTGAGGCTGAGGATGTGAGGGGACCCCTAGCCCGAGTAGGAAAGAGGGGGCAATTAATGGAGAAAGGGGCGATTCTGGGGAGTCCTGAGAGCAGTGTGTGTGTGTGTGTGTGTGTGTGTGTGTGTGTGTGTGTGTCCCCACCACCCCCCTCCTTTTACAGACCGGGAAGCCCAGGACCGGCCCGAGGGTCCCCGAGCTAGAAAGGGGGGAGTTGGAGGGGAGCACACCGTGAGCCCACACAGACCAGCAAGCAGGCCTGTCTCTGCGCTGCCTGTTTAGGGGTGAAGGGAAGGCTGGGGCCCTCTCGTCGGACCCCTTCTGTTTAGACCGGACCGTCTTTGCCCAGGGTCTGGGGGCGAGGTCCCAGTTCTCTCAATACTGTTCCAAAGCTCTGGATTCCTTCCCTAGTCCAGCCTGAGCCCCCATCGAACAGATGGCAACACTGAGGCCCAGATGCTTGCTAAGGGTGGCTGGTGGGTGCCCAGGAGTGAAGGGCCGGAGAATGAGGTCAGGGTTTCCTGCTCATCACCCCAGCCTTGCCTCCCTCTCTCCCTTCCTGCAGGTCACCACTGTCCTCCTTCTGACCCCTTTTGTCACTCAGGCCCTCCCTCCCCTTAGACCATTAATGCAAATAACTGCAAGGACTCCCATGATTCCTGTTTTGGTCATAATTAGCCCCCCAGGTGTGGAAATGAGTATCCCCCATTTTAGGGGGAAGAAGGCCCAGTCCATGGGCACATGGACCTTCCCGAGGCCAGTCACTGGGCTGGGAGCTGACTGGACGCTGGAACCCAGCTTTCCCTTAGAAGCAGAGAGATCCTGCTGCCCCTTCCTGGGTTTGGGAGAGGCTCAGAATGCCCTCTCCCAGCCGGGCTTGGCCATCCTGACAGCTGCCCGAAAGAGGGCTGCAGGTTTTACGATTTCACAGCTAAAGGCTAATTTTGCTGAAAACTTTAAAGAATGTCATCAGTGAATCACCAGGCATTCATCGCCCCTCCTAGGTGCTGGCTCTGAAATTAGAGCTTACTGGTGGCAAATATCTATCTTTCACATCTCCCTGGGGAGTGTTTCATGGGTCTTCCCAGCCCTTGTTTTTCCCATATTGGAATGTTCTTGTGTTCCTTCTCCCAGCTTGCATCACGAGCCCCTTTTTTTTCACAGAAATTCCTCATCTTGTCTGAACCAGCTGGGCCCAAGTCTGTCATTGCATTTGGTTTTCAAATGATCTTTTTTTCAGTCGTGTTTCAGAAGCTACTTTAAGAAAAATGAGTTTTTACTGGTATCTTTTTAAAACATTCCTATAGAATACCTCAGTATCCCTTCCCCTAGTCCTTCCCAGAGAACCCATTTAACAAGCAGTATTTTGAAAGACAAAAAAAAAAAGAAAAACCATCAGAATGCATGTATGATAGCTGTTGACCTCCAGAGGTCTTTAAAGGGCCGGGCAGCACCTCCTCTCCCACGGACCCGGGGTCCGTGTTTCTGCCACGTTTGGATTCTTTCTTTCCATTTTTCATTCTCCTTGCCATGAGTAGGATGTCTTTCTGTTTTCTTGGCTTTGCTGACTTCATTCTGCTTCCTGTTTCACTGTATTCATTCCATTTGTCAATACTTAGAGCACAGGAACATTTCATGACATTCACGACCAGTATTTGGTTAAGCAGGCCTCAGCCACTTCCAAAGCCTTTCAGATTCCCTTTACCCTCACAAATCCTACCTCTTCTTCTCCCTAATACTTTCCATCCCCTCATTTCCCTTCCACCACTACCTACCCCAGGCTCTGAGTTTTTCAAACTGTCTTCTGTCTTTGGGGCCTTAAGCTCCCCAAACCATTTGGTGGGGCCCTTGGTGAATTGAGTCCAATGTCAGAGACCTGTCAGCTCATGCGAGGCCTGGTTCAAACCCAGGGCCTCAGCCTCAATGTTCAATTCACTGCAATGGTGCCCACTTAGGTGTGTCTGCTGTCTGCCCTGCACCATGCCAGGTGCTGGCTCTCTGTAGAAAGATAACAAAGGAAATCAGTCCCTGCCCTCAAGGAGCCTCCATTCTACAGCACATACTGGGATAACTGAACTCAGCTTAGTTGTTTCTAGCTCTCCCTCATTCTCCAGTAGAGGTAAATAAGTAAAAACGAAGAGTGTTCGTTTGACCAAGGAAAAATGCTTAGGCTTTCCCATATTCAGAGCTTGTCTCCAAGCGGAATGGGCTAAGTCAAAAGGCAGTGAGGTCCCCATCGCGGGAATCCCCAAGTTGAGGCCCGAGCACTCAGTGGGTGAATTTTCAAGAGCATTCTTGGTTAAGCATGGGATCAGCTGGAACCTTTCCAAGGCTGAGTCTCTGGATCTGGGATCTCAGTGGGAATCTCAGCAAGGATTCAGTTCCGGCTCGTCAGCTAAAACGAGGCCAAAGGGGGCCTGCCTGTAAGAACTGCTTTGAGGAAGAAGATTGGGGGGGGACCCACAGGTGGCCCCATAACGGAGCAGGAAGTCGAGCTATTGATGGCAGCTGCCTCCAACCTCAGCTGCAGCTGCAGGGAATGAAAAGTCGAGTGTTCCCCGAGCCTGGGCCTTCACAATGGAGCCTTTGTCCAAAACCCCCAGACTGCCAGGACGGCTTCCTCCCTCTCCCCATCCCACCCCCTTTCTCCAGCTCGATGGCTCAGGTTTTATGGAGACCAGCCCTCTCAAAAACAAGGGCAGTTTTCCTCCTTTTCTTGGCCCATCCCTTTGCTCCTGGGCAACCAGAAAAGAGGAGGGGCCCTCAATTGCCAGCAGACCTCTTCCTGAGCAAAGACCTAAGGAAGGAAGGAATAGGGCATTCCTGCTTCAGAAGCAGCCCTCCCTCCATAGATGTGAAATAGCTGAGCCCAAGCCTCTGCTTCCAAACCCAGAAATGCCCTTGTCACCAGTAGGATTGGACGATTCAGAGCGGCCCAACCACCTCAGGTGTCCTCTAGTCTGGTACCTTCCTTTTCACATGGGGAAACAGAGGCTCAAAACCCTTGCTGGGCCAGGATTCAAAGCCTAGTGAAATCCATCGCTCCTCTCCCTGTGTCCTGCCTGATCCCCCCAATGCATTTCACCCTTAGCTTGTCCTAATGAAGCTCAGAGGTGGCCTGTGAGGTGCTGACTCTGTCTCCCTTTCTGGCCGTGGTTCTGAACCGGAGACCATAGGCAGATAGCCCAGGGTCTGTGAGCTCAGAAAGGATGAGACAATAGCTTTGCTCTCCCAAATCTCTCCCTAAAATGGCACCTCTTCCACTGTGAAAGTCAAAAAGAAAACGTTATTGTGAGAAGGGGTCTGTGAATGGAGCCCCTGTCCTAATCCTAGCTCCAGACAGGCCTTCGTAGTCTCCTGCTGGCCTCCCAGAGCCCATCCTCCCCTCCCATCCAGAACGCTGCAGTCTTCTGACAAGGCACAGATATCCTTCCCCACCCCCAGCTCTGCAGTCAGCCTCTGCGGTAGGAAAATTTTTGCCTGCATGGATGACGCAGTTCTAAGCCTCACGTCCCTGAAAGTGAAGTAAGTGGAGAATGAGCTACCCAGGCCAAGAGCATCTGCGTCTCAGACAAAAAAGTACATCTCAGGGGAAGTCAAAATCAGCACCCCCACCCCCAACAGCCGAGCTCAGCCTCCAGGGAAACTGAGGCCTTTCAAATAGAAAGTGGCAGCTCCCTATAGAGTGATGGAGGACACGGGGGGTTCTTTACAAAGAGAATCCTGCCTCCTCATGGGCATCCTCGTCCTCAGACAGAGGTCTTGGACCCCCAAAGGATCACAGATGTCACCGAGGCCCGGGGGTCCATGCAAGGACAGATTCCAAGGGGTTCCAGGAATGTGGATGGGGAGAAAAGGCATCTTTATTTTCACTGATCTCTAACTGAAATATTATATTTCCTTCAGTTGTGAACTTCAAAAAAAATTATTCTGATCCAGAGGTTTCATGTCTGTGTAAGGGGTCCGCAGGCTTCGCCAGCTGTCTGCCAGAGGGATCTGTGCCCCACTAAAGGTTAAGGCCCCCGATCTGGGGTAATCTCCCCCTTTTACAAATGAGCCCAGAGAGAAGAGCCTGAGCCGCTCACACGGGTGGTAGGCTACAGAACTAGGGAACCCGGGGTTGTGTTGGGGGGGAGGGGAGAAATCCGATGAAGATTTGCCTCCATTAACCAGCGCCTCAGGAGCGCTACCCCGCCCTTCTTCTTTCTCCTTCTTTAGTTAAAATGACAGGCTGTTTTAGGCACCCAGCGTGTCTGCAGTCTCCCCATAAGGCCTGGCCAGGGAGCCTGCCCAGCAGTGTGGGCGAAGGGAAAGATGGAGGACAGAGGCTGAAATGGTTCATCTCACCCCCCACCTGCCACCTCCAGGCTGGCATCCTAGCTCTTTACAGTCTGACCCCACAAGGGAAAGCAACTGCAGGCTCCTGCCATCACTGTCCTTTTCACTGACCAGTTTAGCACCGAAAGGGAATCCATCAGCTTTGATTCCTGGCTCGAGGCAGCCTGGCCCGGGCCTGGATTCAAGTCCTTCCTCTGACCCCTGCTGTGACGCTGAGCAAATAATTTCACTTGTGCACCAGAGACAACTAAGGCAGCCCCTGCCCTCAAGGAGCTCCCAGTCTAATGAGCCCCAGGTGCACAGCCTCATGCTTCCTCACCCCCCCAGTGGTGTCCGGTCAGCCTTGGCACACACGACTTCTCTCCCACCCATCTTCTCCCCACAAATGTGGCCACTGCCACTATTCAGGCACTGGCCCCCTCTTAGCAGGACCACCCCAGGAGCCTCCTGATTACCCTCTCCCGCCTCTGCCCTCCTCAGTCTATCCTCCACCATCTGTGGTGACGGTCTTCAACCACAGGTCTGACCTTTTCTCTCCTCCCCAGCTCAGCAAACTCCAATGGCTCCCTATTGCCTCCAGGCTCCAATACTGACTCCTTGGATATTATTTAAAGCCCTTCCCCAGCTGGCTGCAGCCCCCTTTCCAGGCTCATTATGCACGTCAGCCTCTTCCCCTAGTGCAGCATGAAGGCACTTGAGAGACTGACCCGTGACTCCCGAGGAATTGGGAAGTTCAGGCTTTGCTTTGGTCTTCTCTGACCCCCTTGGGACTGATGCTTCCAAAGGGAGCAGAAGCTCAGTGTGGGTGTGCGGGGGTTGGCGTGCCTGGCTTGGGAGCTGCAAGAGCGGCATCTGACAGATGCTGCGTCAGGTACTTCCTGGCTGGAGGACCTCGGGCAGCCCCTCTGGGCTGTAGAGAACTGTCCAAGGCCCTGAGGAACGGAGGAGGTGCCACCCGTGTTGGTGGGACGATTTTCCCCACATGCCAGGGAAGCCATGGGGCTGTCTGTCTCAACCCAGAGCAACACAGCAATGGATTCACGGGTCAAACTAAGAAAAGGACTTGGGTCAGGCAATTCCCAAGGGTTCGTGTGCGTGTGCACAGCACTGTCAATGCTCAAACCATCCTTCAGGGCCCCTGAAGCATGTGCATATCATTCCTTGAGGGGCTGCCTCCTACCAAGAGCCACAGGCCCGGCCGGGGCACCCCAGGACCAGAGCCACGGGCCCGGCCGGGGCACCCCAGGACCAGAGCCACGGGCCCGGCCGGGGCACCCCAGGTCCCATCTGGGGAGCAAACCCGGAGACAAACCCGGCGTTGAGGAGGCTGGCTGCATCTGGTGAGCCGCTGGTCCTCCACGGTCATCCTATGTGCTGGGAGAACCCACACACCTGATTTTATTTAGCCCAGAGCTAGGAAAAGGGGTTTCCTAAGGCTCCCATCAGACCCTTCACCCCTCTGCTCAAAACCTTTCCATGGCTCCCCACTGCCCATGGGATAATATGTAGATTCCTTAGCGTGTCCCTGCACAGTCTCTGCTCCAACCTGCCCTTCTAGTCTGATTTTGCTCCACTCCCTGCCCTGGCGGGCTACGAGCCCACGCCCCACAGGACTCCCTCCCATTCCCTGATTCTGTCCTTTCTTCTCCTGCCAACAGGCCTTTGCCCAGGGCTGGCACGGTCCCTTCTCCTGACTGCGTGCCGGCTGAAACCTTTGTTTCAAGGCCTAGCTCTGTTGCCGTCCTCTAAAAAGGCCTCCCACCATCCCCTCAGCTGCAAGGAAGCTCTTCCCTCAGATCTCTCAGAAGACCTGGTCTGGACCTCACCTGTGTACACAGTTCACCTCGAGCCAACCTTGTTTGTGCACGTGCCTCATTCTCCCTAATGGATGACAAGCAAGGACTGTCCTTGTCATTTTTGTGTTCCTGTCATCCTTCCTAGTGCCTTGAATGTAGGAGATGACCAACCAACATTCGTTTAATGAAATCGTATGGACGGTGGCACACAATAGATCTTTCATAAATGCTTATTGGACGCATGAAGGAATGAACAAAGGAGTGAATGAACGAGTAGGTCTGCGGCCAGTGTTCTTCATACCACCAAGGACCAAATTAGCCAGCTGAATCTGCCTTAGTTAAAGTGTATTCCTTTGGTCCACGTCATGGCTTCCTCTCAGACTCAGGAGACACTAGGTCACACAGGAAGTTGTGAAAATTCTTTTTTTTCTATAAAACTTCAAGGTGAAGTTTGTTGTTGAGGCTAGTGTCTGTCTGGGGCCATTTGGGTCCCGTGCTCGGTATGGGGAGGAAGGATGACATGGCCTTGGGAGAGTCCTTCACACCCTGGGAATTCCAAAGAGGGTTTCCATAGTTGTCTGATGAGATCTCTTGACAATGCCCTTTTGAGTCACTTCAGAGCCTTGGTAAGGGGATGAGGGAGGGGCCGAAGGCACCATCTTTGTCCTCTGAGTCACCCCTGGCCTTGGGTGACCAGGCCTCATTTGCTCCGGCCTCCTGACCTCCCCTGGTCTCCCTGGGCTCTGGGCTAGATCAATGAGGCCTGAGAAGGGTCAGCTTGGGAATCGCATCTGCATTCCTCAGCCTCTGACCTCTCCGGTCACACATCAGAGATCCAGGACTGGTGCGTCTGGGTGTGTTGCTGTTGTATAACCTTAGTTGTGACACCCAGGGACCCACTAGCAGGCTCTCTTCCATTCCCCTCCCCCTTACACTCCGCCTCTGGACAGTGCTCACAGGAAACAAGAGGCCGGTAGAGGCCTGCCAGCAGTGCCACCCCCCACTGCCCAGTCTGAATTTCAGGAGACTGGACTCTTCTGACAGCTGGAATGTGTGTAAAGAGGGGTCCCATGTGGACACCAGATCGGATTTCAGCTGGGGCCCAGTGAGAGGGCGAGGGAAGGATAGTGTAGGTCGAGGGGCCGTCAGGCAACCAAAGCCTACAGCGTGACTTCTCCCAGATTGTTGTGGAAAGCTGGGCCCAGCAGCAGAGCCAGGAATTCCAGCCCGGCCTTGCCATCAACTCACTGGGTGACTTTCTCAAAGTGCTAATTCCTGGGCCTCATTTTTCTCCTCTGTAAAAAGAATAAATTGGACTGAAACCTGGAGTTCTTCACCTGGATTTCATCAGTTCTGTGAACTTGGATGGAGGGGGAAATTGCATCTTTAATATAATTAGTGTCCTTTGTAAGCCTATGAATTTTATTTCATAAAAACATGATTCTGAGTACCAGAATGCCAGAGGGCTGCATGGTGTCCTGGACTGCATGACCTCCAAGAGCACTTCTAGCTCTAAAATGTGAACAACTGATTCATTTGACAAGCTTATTAAGCCCCTACTACGTGCTGGAAATCCCTACCCCAAGAGCCTCCAGGCTGACTGAACATTCCAGGAGTCTGGATCTCGCTTCCTCGTGCAGCCGTATCCCCTTTGGACAGATTTTGAGAGTTCTAGGTCATTGAGCTAAATAAAACTGCTTCCCTATAATGTCCGCAGCCACACTGGGAGGGTCTCAGGATCTCACCTGGTGATCTGAAGGGATAGGACCACCAGCTTTACAAGCATCTCACCCAGAGACGTCTAATTTATCCCCCTTTTACATATGGGGAAACTGAGGCCCAGAGAGGGGCAGTTCCTGACCCAAGGTCACACAGGAGGGAAATAGCAGAGCAGAGGTGCCCTCCCCCTTCCCCCAGGTCTTCTCTCCTCCAGGCGTCAACGATGAGTTATCTGTGAAAGCACAGTGCCTGGCATACAGTAGGCGCTATATAAAAATGCGTATTCCCCTCCTCCCTACCCATCCTCCCACTTCTTGGAGTGGAATTTCCCCGAACTCAAAAACATGCCTGCATTTTGCCCCCCTAGGGATCGTCACCATGGAAACGGGCCACGTGACGGCTTCTTGCAGTTTCCCCAGCTCCCGAGGCAGAGCTGCGCGCTCATTGGCCTGCAGAATCCTGGCCGGGGATTGGCCCGGGCTTGTTGCTAGGCTGGAGCCTGGCTTTCGGAGACTAGGACCGACGACGAGAGAGCCGAGGAGTGGGTGGCCCCTGGTGCCTTTCCTGCCTCCCTCCCAGGCTGCCATGGCAACCGCTCTCCCTCTATTTCTGGCCCGGAGCGAACGGCTGTTTTTCTTTGCTACTTTCCAAAGCAAAGCGGGGGCAGGGCAGCCTTGCAGAGACTGTTAGCACAGGAAGGAACCTCAGAAAGGGAAACTGAGCATGAGAAAAGGGAAATGACCTGGCTAGGGCCCACAGCTGGTCAGTGGCACAACCACATCTCCTGACTCAACCCAGTGGTCTTTCCGTGGATCCAGGGGGCTGATCCCCTCGTCAGGCCCCAGAACGCCCCTCCCCTCATCCGAAGTCTCAGGACCCCAACCCTGGGGCCGGTGTGCCTGGGGAAAGGGCTGGACCTTGGAGTCACCGGAGCTGGGCTGCATTCCGGCTCTGCCATTTAAGTGGGGAGCACAGGATGTCGGCGCTGGTGGGCAGGTTGGCAGTTTGCTGACCCCTGCCCTGGGCGCTCTCCAGCCTAACCGCTTTGGGTTACCCACCTACATTTATCTTTAGGACTCCGGTTCTTTTTTTGAGGTCTTCCATTAAGTAGGTTCTGACTCATGCAGTTCAATTCAAGCACCTACTATGTGCCATAAATTCTGGAGGAAGAAAGACAAAAACGAAACAGTGCCTGCCTGCCCTCCAGAAGCTTACATTCTATCAGAAGAAACGTGTGTATACACACACATTCCTACATATACGTGGAGAAAGAGACAGAGACAGAGAGAGAGAAGTAGATTTTAAAAATGGGCAAAGCATGAAGCCAGTGGTATTGAACGCTCACACCAGTCGGCCCGAGAGCTGCCCCCACGGAGGGCTCTTATCTGCTCTTAAGGATTTGAAAGGCCGACGGGTGTGGGGGTTTGAACTCTTTCCCTTTGGCCTCCGGGGGCAGAACCTGGCGGTAATGGGTGGAAGTCTGTAAAAGGCAGTCCACAAGCCTGAATTAGCTTAGAAAAGCTTAGAAGCTTAGGAAAAGAAAGAGTTTTCCAAGTCTGGCTGCTGCTAGGACCATCCCTCAGTTGTTTATCTCTAATTTATCCCATTTATATTTTGTTTGCATATATTGTTTGCATGTTGCCCCCCCCCATCAGATCGGGAGCTCCTCACCGGCAGGACCAGTGCGTCTCTGTACCCCCAGGGCTTCATACAGTGCCTAGCACACAGCAGGTGTTTCATAAGTTGACTTGTTGATTTTTTTCCCTTAATAGTATCACATTTTTTTTCCAGTTACATGTAGTTTTCACCATTCATTTTTGTAAAATTTTGAGTTCCAAATTTTTCTGTCTCCCTCCCTTCCTTCCCTTCCTCCTCCCCAAGACAGCCAGCAATCCGATATGGGTTATTACGTGTACAGTCCTGTTAAACACATTTCCACATTAGTCATGTGAAAGAAGAATCAGAACAAAAGGGAAAAACCACAAGAAAGAAAAACAAAAAACAAACAAAAAGTGACAACAGTCTGCTTTGACCTGCATTCAGACTCCAGAGTTCTTCCTCTGGACGTGGACAGCACTTTCCATCACGAGTCTTTTGGAATTGTCCGGGATCATTGTATTGCTGAGAAGAGCTAGGACTTGTTGATTGGTGAAAAACACAGTCTGTACCCTCAAGAAGAGGAGATCACATTCTGATAAAGGACACACACTCTCACACACACACACACACACACACACACACACACACACCATAAAGGATAATGGACGCCCCACTAGCAGTGAGAGGGAGAGAGGGTCTGGGAAATGCCTCTGGAAGAAGGAGGATATGTCTTAAGGGAAGCCAGGAGGCCTAGGCTCCAGGAGGTCACTCCAGGCCTGAGGGACAGTCAGTGAAAAGGCCTTGAGTCGGGAGATGGATTGTTCTAAGGAACAGTAAGAAGTCCAGTGGAGTGTGTGTGTGTGTGTGTGTGTGTGTGTGTGTGTGTGCGCGCGCGCGCTAAGGGCTGCCACTAAAGTTGTGAGTCTGGGTGACAGAGGAGTGGGGAACAGATAGAATTCCACTATGAATACATTTAGTTTCAGGTGTCTATGAGATATCTAATTCAGATGTCCAAAAGGCATGTGATGGGAGTGATGGGAGACTGGAACTCAAGAGAAAGACAAGGCAGGATTGATAGGGCTTGAGAGTCAGCAGCAAAGATATGATCATGGAACCCATGGGAGCTGAGGAGGTCGCCAAGCCACCTAGGCCAGGGAACGGCCGCCGCCTAGGCCACCCAGGGAAAAGAGAAGAGGGCCCAGGCCAGAACCCTGTGGGTCCCCCAAAGTTAGTGGGCATGATCTAAGTCGGGGGTGGGGTACCTGCGGCTTCGAGGTCTCATGTGGCCCTCTAGGTCCTCCAATGTGGTCCTTGGACCAAAAAGGACCTCGAGGCCGCAGGTTCCCCGTCATTGATCTAGGGAAAGCTCCAGCAAAGGAGCCTGAGGAGAGGGGCCAGATGGGGAGGGGGGAGCCAGGAGAGGAGATGTCCCAGAAAGTTGGAAGTCAACAAGCATGCATTAGGTACCTACAAGAAAGGCCAAAACACAGTCCTGCCCCAGCTCACAAAGAAGAGAGTATCCAGGAGAAGGGAGTGGTTGGTTGAATGAGCGAATAAAACATTTCCAGCCTTACTAAGTGCTAAGTGCCGTGGCTCCAAAGAGAAAAGTCCCCAGTGCCAGCTAGGAGAGAGCTCCCCTTCTAACAGGGAGACAACACTCAGGGAAGCTTTTATCTACCAGGCCCATGCAAGGGCCAGGCCTTAGCGGGTAGCAGCAGTGAAGCAGGTGGCCGGGCCTCTCTCCAATGTATACAGTCCCATCAGATCCCAAAGTTGAACCTTTTGGCAGCGCTAAGGACTTTGGTGACATACCCTGTCTTTCCTGGGTCTTCAGTATCTGTGGCCAAATCCTCTTGGAGAGCAAGGCCAAGACTGTGGCTCCACTAAGGGCTGG